ATGTATATTTTTGAATAATATAAAAGTATTAAAATAAAACTAAACCTACCTAGATGGATTTTGGCTGTTATTTTTAATAAAATTATTAGAATCAACTTCTTCACACTATTGTACTTAATCAGCAACTTAAAGCTTCGTTATCAGGCACAACTGCCTTCAGCAATAGCTTTATGTTATGGAATGTTTATGGAATCCAACAAGACTATTTGGTTTTGTTGACTTTGTTTATGGAATCCAACAAGAATGTTTGGTTATGTTAACTATGTTTATGGTGTCCAACAAGACTCTAACAACCACAACTCCACAGGTCCAGCAAGACACACATCGAGTCAAGCCAAGATCATCTAGTTGTCAGGTCGTACCTATATTATTTTTTTTATGTCAACGATAAATCTTTTCGTTAGCCACCCTCTGCATACAGTACAGCAATAATTTTATGTTTTATACATCAATCAATTTTTTTAATGTCAAATTTTATACTGTTTAAATCATATAACCTACAGTCGCAGTAACTAGATTTGTAAACCATATATGGCCATATAAGGGTACCTTATAAAAAAATATAAACATTATTATATATTGGGGTGGGCCGAAAATCCGCTTTTTAGAATTTCGTTTAGTAATAGCAAAAATTTTGTTCATTATGTTGTAAAAAAAATTTGTGTAAGATTAAAATTTTCGATCAACATCCTAGGCTTGCCCAACGCAATTAAAGATCAACGTAGGACCGTATGGAATATATTATATATACACCAATACATTGTAACGTTGGAATTTTACCTTAGGCAGTTCTTGGTTAACCGTCCTGTGATGTGTGTAAGCACTAATTGATAATACCACATTGAGGCACCTTATTTGAGCTCGTTCTTTCAACTTGGTGTTTGTTTACTTTCGACATACCGCTGTTGTGTTATATAATAATATAAAATTAGACCATTTAGGTTACCACCGAGTTCCGGCTGAAAGAGAAAAGCATTTAATAGAAGCTGGTTTTACTTATCATTAGATTTCATTACCATCAATGTAATAATTTTTGCCTTAGTCTTTAAAAGAAAACACAATAGTAATGACAGTACAAATCTGGGGTTATGTCAACGAACACCACGGTGTTGCCAACCATAGGGAAGGCAGAGTTGCCAACGTACATAAACGGGAATATTTAATTTACAGTGGGTGTTTTGACTAACGCCGTCGCCCTGTGTTTTGACTAACGCCGTCGCCCTGTGATTGGCTTAGTGTAGCGTCCTTATTCTCTCATTGGTTGATTTCACGTGTTCAATTCAAAAGTTAGAAACTTGATAATTCATTTTTGTCATTCTATTTGCCCATTTTGGCTCAGCATGTCTATATTTCGAGCTCTTCTGTTTTGTAAATAATTATGGTTGGCTTAATGGCTGCTTTAAAACTATTTTTCTGGAAATTATTGGGTGCGCAGGGCGAAACGTCATATCCACCTGTAGCTTACTTGTCGTGGTAGATTGTCTGTGAATGGACGCTTAGTTTTATCTCTCTTGTTGTGAAACCTGGAAAAAGGGATTTAAAGTGCTCATTCAACACAAAGGAACTGTGCAAAGTTGTTATGGTTTGAAGTATAATTATACTAGTATTATAATACTGGTAGTGCCAGATCCTTACCGTTTAACGGGAGTTAAACAGATTAAATTTTTACCACGCCATTTCACTCAACCGCCAAAGAAAAGCTTTGACAAATTCTGTCAAATTGTCAATTCAAGAGTTAAACAAAGAAACCCTTCACTGAAGGTAAGGTTATCTAGACATGCTGAGGCAAAATTTTAAATGGGTATCATTTATTTTAGGGTTTTTTTCTTTCCCCATACAAAATTTTTATTTTAACATCAACATTCGTGTAAGGATTTACACAACTGAGGATACTACACTGGGCTAGAATCACATTGCTTCAACAACCCGGTGGGGTGGTTTAACATACTGGGCTAGAATCACATTGCTTCAACAACCCGGTGGGGTGGTTTAACATACTGGGCTAGAATCACATTGCTTCAACAACCCGGTGGGTTGGTTTAACATACTGGGCTGGAATCACATTGCCAACATAGCAGCTCTACCAATACCCTTGGTTTAAGGCTGTACAATTCACCCTTCAACGACTCGGTGGGTTGGCTTGAGGACACTGTGACACACTGATATCGTAGGACTTCCAAGGTCAGATCCAATTATTATCATAGAGTAAATCAAATAAACAGAGAAATAATAATAGTAATCATTTGAGTAATAATAACATACAAATATTTAGTTTAATTTTTATTATTTGTGAACTGAGTTTTTATGGCCATAAACACAAAGGGGTTAGTAAGAGTACATTATAACTAATAAAAGTTGACAGTTGACAATTGAATTGTGTTAATTAGTGGGGTTGTTTTTAAGCAATTCTGAGATAATTTATTGGAGACTTTTCCTAATCAATAAAACCAATTCAGGTTGAACATATACAAATATTTTTTTGTTTTTTTGGTATTTTTTTTTGTCCTGCCTATCTTTGTGTAATAAAAAAATTACTTGGCGCCCAATTAAGGTAAGTGTTATTTACAAGGAACGTAGAAACTGAACCTACACCCTACTGAGCTTGACGGGAACTTTTTTTTTGCTTGACCTAAAGTTAGGCTATAACATAAAGCAAATACAGTTATTTTTCATTAAACTTTTTGATTTAGTTGGTGGTCGGTAAAAAAAGAACCCAATCACTTTTTCTTTTGGAGCGCTATATTTCCCAAACGGTCCTACGTTGATGTTTAATTGCGTGGGGCGAGCCTAGGATGTTGATCGAAAATTTTAATCTTTTACACAAAATTTTTTTACAACATAATGAACAAAATTTTTGCTATTACTAAACGTCGAAGTCGAAGTCGCGGTCAGCGCGAAACGAAAATGTTCCCAGAAATTATTTTGACGAGTGGATGAGTAGACTAACATGCGACGTAACAGGTGACCTTGTATACTGGCGATTAAAATTTCATTACGTCCAAATAATTTCTTAGAACTTTTTCGCTTTGACTTCAACTTGTCTGGTCCACCTACAATGTATTTTCCCTATGTATAGCTTTCAAATGAAGGTACGGTATACCGTACCTTCATTTGCAAGCTAACCATAGGGAAAATACATTGTAACTGGACCAGATAAGTCGCATTCAACACAAAGCGAGAACCTTTTCAGAAATGATTTGGATGCGTCGTCGAGACATGCGTACTAAAACAAATTTTACAAGATTTACACCGCACAAAATAAAAAACAATAATAAAGCATCGATGTATGAAGCAAGGTCAACTGTTACGGCGCATGCTAGCCTACTCGTCCACGCGTCCAAATCATTTCTACAACGTTTTTCGCTTCGTGCTGACTAAGACTTATCTGGTCCAGTTACAATGTATTTTCCCTATGGTTAGCTTGCAAATGAAGGTACGGTATATATATTTGATCACCATCGCGTTAACAACTGTGAAAGAAGTTAATTATAATTTATATTTTTAAACTTGACTTTTTATACCCTTATTATCTGGCGCCCAATCTTGATTTGCCTTTAGTAAACACACGTAAGTATCAAGAAACAACATTTGTCCATCAACCTATTTCTCCGCTGCTAAACTGCCGTTCGCCATAGCCCTCAAGTTGAGGTTACACAAAATGGCGCCCACAGCCACAGTCCAGTCTATGCAAAACTTGCCTATCGCAGGTGACAGTTTGAATTGTTGGTGCGTTTTAGCGACGTTTGGGGTTCATCGTCTTGATGAATTGTTGCAAGGAGGAGTCCCTTAGGTGGTGTTTCTCCATTGCAGGATTTCTGGTAATTTGGGCGAAAAAAAGTTGCACAAGTTGGTAAAACCTGTGATTAGGATTTGGACAGTTTCACCTCTTGAAGAGTTCCTTTAGACTGAAAAGATGTCACCACCTGCAGGTAGAAATATGCTTCTACAATATAGTATTTCTGTTAGGTTTAGGTATAGGTATGGTTGCCATAATTCTTTTTTAGTGATATGTAACATAATGATTATGTATTATACAAAAAATGGCACATAAATACCTATTAAAAAGGCTAAAAGAGCTGTTCTCGAAGGACAAGTCGGCACTGGCGGAGATCATTCTCAGTGGGAAGGGAATGTATGACCCGCCTGACCTCCCTTCACTTGAAAGCGTTGAGGCGTTATACGGCGGTATCCTAGAGTCGCCCAGTCCGGCTGACGAGGAGCCCGTCCGCCCACATGAGCCGCTCTGTACGTTCCGTGTTATCACGGAACAAGAGGTCAGGAACGCCAGTAACAACTGGCAAACGTCGGCACCCGGCATTGACGGGATCACTGTTTCTGACGTCAAACGCGTACAGCCCTTGCTACTTAGCGTGATACATACTATTCTCCTCGGACGTAACATCCACCCTACAACGTGGACTACGCTCCGTACCGTATTGGTACCCAAGGGGGGAGACAGGAAACAGGCCACGAACTGGAGGGAATTCACGCGGCCCATCCGCATACGCAGAGGAGTTAAACAAGGCGACCGTCTCTCTCCTCTACTCTTTAATATTGTGATGGATGAATTGATAGTAGATATCAATGAGTATCATGGTGGCAGTATCGCAGCTGACAACAGAGTGGCGATGATTGGCTTTGCGGACGATATCGTGCTTCTCGCCGACCGCCAGACCGACGTTCCGCTTATGCTCGCGGACGTCGAGATATTCTTTGAGGGTAGGGGTATGTCCGTCAACCCGGCGAAGTCTGTGAGCCTTTCGGCCCTGACCACAGCTGGGGATAAGCGGCCTATCCCGATCTCGAAATCCATCTTTAACATCGGGGGCTCGAAGATACCGACGATTAACTCGGTATCAACCTTCCCACAGTACCGAATCTGCAATGTTGGTTGCGTCGCATTGAGAAAGCTCCACTGAAGCCGGACCAGAAACTGACGTTAATTCGGATGTTCTTGGTTCCGCGTTTGCTTTATGGACTCCAGAACACTCGTGTTACAGGCACCGTCTTGAAAGATGTGGATAGGCTGGTGAGAGGCTCCGTAAAAAGAGTCTTGCACCTGCCGAGTCATGTCCCTAACTGCGTGATCCACGCGAAAGTTAGAGACGGCGGGCTGGGTATCCTCGAGATGCGCCACGCCATTCCTCAGGCCTTGCTGAGAAGAATGGATAACGTGGAGTATGGAGGGGACCCGGTGCTCAACGCGACTATGCTGACCCCAAGGATTCAAAGCATTGTTGTGCGGCTTCAGAAACTGGCAGGGAACGTTCCTACAGAACAGATTTATCGGGCTGCTATAACAAGTGACCCGATGACAACCGGCATACAGATTTCGACCGAAGACCCTGCTAGCAGGGGGTGGGTGTCTGACAAACCCACCGGGTGGACAGGTCGGGACTACGTTCGAGCCATCCAGCTTCGAGCAAACGTCCTCCCAACGAGGGGCATACCCTCCAATCCCGAGCACCTGCGTCGGTGTCGTAATACGGGTTGCAATGCCGTTGAATCCCTCTCCCACGTGCTGCAGCAATGCAGTGCATCGCACGGTGAGAGGGTACGGCGTCATAACGACGTCGCACGGAAAATTGCAGCCCATACGCGCAAGACCTGGGACACGGAGGAGGAGCCCCACGTTCGTCATCAAGACGGCCAACTCTATAAGCCTGACATCGTCGTACACAAAGACCGCAACACCATCGTGGTCTGCGACGTTCAGGTGAGTTGGGAGGGAGCGGATGGTCTAACGACGGCCTGGGAGAGGAAGCGGGGGGTTTACCAAAACCCCAAGTTTGTCGAGGCAGCAGCACGGAGGTGGCCTGGAAAAACCTGCGAGTTTACGCCCTTGATCATCGGGGCGCGCGGCACCTGGCCGCGTTGTAACGAGCCCACGGAAAGAGCACTTGAACTGACCAAGCAACTCAAAGCGAGTTGTGTCCATGGTGTCTTGAAGTGGGGCTCGATTATACACGTAGCATTCTCCAGGCGAGTATGGGCCGCCTCCAATCGCTAGAAGACAGATGCCGCCCTCGAACTCAGTAGAATTTTGGAAGGAACGCTCGGAACACACGGCTCTATTTAGTCCTCATTTTAGAGGTCAATTTTTATTTATGCGAACGCAAAAAGTCCACCATAACCGGTGGATTGCAACGTTTCATAAAACAGTGTCCAATGATTTGTCATTCAAAAATAAGGAAAGGCTTAGTTTTCAACATTAAAAAAACATGGCTTTTTTAAAGTTCTTAAATATCGGTTGCCCGACATGGCAACATTATTTATAATTTATGATAAGGAGCTAATTTTGCTTTACCTGGATGTCCCCTCTTTTACCAAGGGCTGAATTTAACAAGGCGGATTTGCTACACTTTCTTGGCCTTTACAAGCAAAATACTCTCACATCATGAATCGACGCCTTAAAGAAGAGGGATTTTAGCACCTTTCTTGATCTCGTCGTTTCCTGGAAGTGACCGAGGACAGGAGATGAAGAAATACGGGCTTGGCAAAATGTCTGAAGTGTTGGAACATCATACAACGGCCCTGAATCCTGCGCTGCAATGAAAGTTGGTGGCGAAAACATCATCAATAGGTTCCCTGGGAGAAACAGTGGCTCTTAAGGGAGTTTCTGTCGGCTTTCTCCGAGGAAGTCGCTTCGGTGAATATTGTCTACCCGAAGAGGGAAGATCACGCTGCCAGTTTTGAAGCAGCGGAAAAATCGGCAGTTACTTGTCGTACTTCGTAGCCGAGAACAAGCGACAACCGGAGCATTTATGGTGAGGAGGAAGGGTTTATTTATATCTTTTTTTTTACAGCCGTTGGATCACGAGCTCAAGTGAGTTGACGCGTATGATGCCACACGCGAAGACCTATTTTTGCGTCTCGCAAAATGAAAGGCATGTGCCGTGGTTTCTACACACGTCGGCGAACTTGATCAAGGTTGTGTGGGAATTCGGCAAGAAAACACTTGCCATTAAGAACTAGGAACTTGGAATACTTATTGTTTCTCGTTTGCACGTAAGTTGCACACAATCTCTCTCACTTTCTCTCTACATCCTACGCAAACAATTTATTTCTTTTATTTTTCAACAGGAAGGAGACTTTTTCAGGTTGGAGGACATTCTTGGCTGCTTGCCTCTGCAATTTTCTCTTCTAAATACAGCTCGGGCGACCAGCCTTATTTGCGAGATGAGTTTCAGGTAATTAATTCGTTTGGAAGCAGCCCGCAAAACCAGCAGCAGCAGAAGCCAAGTGGCAGAGTGGATCTGCCTTATGGTTCTCTCTCTTGGCCGATCACTTGGCCCCCTACATTCCTCTACTCGAGTCCTTACGAGGCCGACACAGGGGTAAGGTCATTTCCACAGCGGGCACATAAAACGTCCCGGGTGTACAGGACTAACCGCGTTTCACGCGACCTGTCCGACAACTTTGACAGCTTTTCGTCTGGTGTGTTCGTTACCATAATGAGTGTCGTGCATTTGAACCCCACCTCACCCACTGTCCCCTTGAACTTATCTTCCAGTTCCTCGGGCTCTTCGGGCTCGGAGATCAGAGGACCCAATCGTGTCGCCGATCACGGTGCACCCGCACCCGCTACGGCGGGTGCGGGGATCGACGACACTACAAGTAAAGTCTTCTCCTCGTTGAATGACCTCCAAGAGGTCTTCGCAGAAAGACTCAATGATCATATCATTGAAGGCTTAAACTTCGTAACTACCAAAGTAAGCCGCAAGGCCAAAAAGGATGTTGTCATCAGCTCGATGGTCAAGATCTTCAAACTTCTCCAATCTGATATGCTTAATTTACGTAAAGCTCAAAAAGCTTCTTCTAATACCAGACTTCTGGTGAAAACCATTGGTTCTGTTTTAAATAAAATTGCTAAAGCTGGCGAGTCTGTGTCTGCTCCGCCCAGCCCTCAAGCTGAAAAACACGTCACCTATGCAAGCACGGTTGCACTTCCCAAGGTTAAAACGGTCGGTAGTCGCTTTACGTCCACCAAGACCGTTCATAAGGTGGAAATTTCCCCCATTAACTCGGATGATTTCGCGTCCTCCGAGACTGTCAAGAGCAGGGTACTAGAGGGTATTAATCCTTCAAATATGGGCATTGTTCCTTCCAAAATCTATATGTCTAAGAATAAGTCTGTTATAATCGAATCACATTGCGATAGCATCAAAAATGTAGTGGACCGCCCTGAGTGGGCCTCCCTCAATCTTAAGGCGAATGTCTCTGAAAAGGGGCCCCCTAGACTATCTATATTTGGCGTCCCTTCTACAATCTCTAAAGAGGATCTGGCGAAAATTATTCTCGATCAAAACGATATCGGGTCGGGTGACAATGACATTCACATTAATCCTATACATAAATTTGGCCCTAGAGGCCAAAAGCTCGTTCACTGGGCTATTGAGGTTTCACCAACCTTACGAATCAAAATCCTTTGCCGGAAATACCTGGGTATAGGGTGGCAAAATTGCAGAGTAGAAGATAGGACGAGAGTCACTATCTGCTTTAAATGTTACCGCTTTGGACACACAGCTGGCAAATGTCAGTCTGAATCTCAAAGGTGTGGGTTCTGTTCCGAGGCGCACGATTTAAAAGAGTGTCCGAATAAAGATACTGCGGCTAAATTGAAATGTCCTTGCTGCTCCCAGATCAAAGGCATCAATGACCTAAGCCATGTTCCTGGCAAGGTGAAGTGTAATTCTTACATGAGGAGAGTTAAAGCCCTGATTGAAGATACCAACTACGGGCCTTAAAATCAAGGAATTAAGAATATGCCAAATAAATCTACACCATTCATTCTCTGCTTCTCATGTATTTTTTAACTCTCCATTCTTACATAATATTGATATTGTCCTGATCCAGGAGCCGTATTGCATACTTTCAAAGACTTCAAATAAATATGTTATTCCTAACATTGGCCATTTTAGAATCATCGCTGACTCCAGCTCAGCGTTCAAATCGTGCGTCGTGGTTACGAATCCTGCTCTTTGCTTTCTTCCTGTTCTTGAACTCACTACGGAGCTTATCACTCCGGTTATTGTCGAATGTGGCAATCTGACATTTGCTGCTATTAGTGTTTACTGCCCTTCTAGAGATGAGCTATCTTTCTTACTAAATTCTCTAACTGAGAAAATTGACAAAATAAATCTTCCTACTTATATATGTTTGGATGCTAACTCCAAAAGTCCTGCTTGGTTTTCCGACCAGCTAGACCATAGAGGTGAACTCCTTGAAGGTTTTATCCTCGAAAATGATCTGCACATTTTCAATTCTCCTTCCAATATTACTACATATAGCTCGTCCCTAGGTAGCAGTAATATCGACGTGTCTTTATGCTCTGCGACTTTGCTTAACTTAACCTCCAACTGGACGGTATCTGATGACGTTTGCCCATCTCGTTTAATGTCATGGTTCCTGACCCTGTATCTTCTAACTCTTTTTGCTGGGCCAGATCTCTTAGAGAATTGGACTCTGCATCCGCTATCGACGACGCCATTCTTGGTATCGACGAACTTGATTCACACCTTTGGCTACCGGGCAATGAAGCTCTTGAAACCAGAGCAACCAATCTTAATTCACTTATCTCTGTCATTGGGTCTAAATACCTCAAAAGGCGAAAGAAATTCCCTATGCGTCCACTGTGGTGGAACGAAAGGCTAGACACATTGAGAATCAGAATAAACAAACAGAGAAAAGCTTACCAGAAAGCAGCGGACCCTGTCCGCTCTGCTCTGCTGCGATTGCTAACTATCTTGCTAGATTGTTCAACGATTGCATTAAATTTAGCGACTTTCCAAAGGTGTGGAAATCCGGTAAATTGGTACTCATACCTAAAAGCGGCTCTGCCTCTACGTCTAATCCCCTTAAGGGTACTAGACCCATCACTCTTCTGCCAAGTCTTGGCAAGATTCTTGAAAAGAGAGTCAAAAGGCGCCTCTTTTCCAAGCTACCTGAAAATGATTTTCATCACTCTACTCAATATGGCTTCAGGGAGGGCCGATCTACTATTGACGCTATTAGCGATCTCACCAGTAATATCACTAATAATCAGCATAAATTTGTTGTTACTTGTTTCTTGGACATAAAGGGGGCTTTCGACAACATCTGGTGGCCCACAGTCTTCAACTCACTAATAAATAAAGGTCTCTCTGCGGACTCTATTAATATGCTTCGTAGCTATCTGTCTTTCAGATCAACTACCTTTGAACTCGGAGCAATTAAGGACCTAACCAGGGGTTGTCCCCAGGGCTGGGTTCTTGGCCCACTACTGTGGAACGCTGCTCTTGACGATCTCTTGTCTCATAACTTTGGGGACAGTGTTAAAGTGTATGCATATGCTGACGACATCGCCATCCTCTCCTTTTCTAATAATCGCGCTGAAATTGAGCGGGTCACTAATGACGCTCTGGCAGTGGTCAGCTCTTGGACCGCTAATAACAAGCTCTGCTTGGCCATTAATAAATGTTGCTATGTCGTTTTTAAAGGCAAGTCCGCCAGGAGACCAACAATTAGAATCCAAAATCAGCCTATCAGTGGAGTTATGTCTGCTAAATACCTGTGTGTCACCCTTGATTTCCGTCTAAACTATCAAGAACACATAAAAAAAAATTTGTTTAGTCTTAAAGCTAAGGGTCTATTTGCGAACATTCGAAGACACTTGGCAAGAGTCTGGTCACCTCCTTCAGAAAGTCTGGTTACAATCTATAAATTGGCGATAGTTCCTATTATTAGTTACGCCTTCGTAATTTGGAAGGACAAATCAAATTATGTCAGAGCTCAAAGATTCCTCAACTCCTGCAGAGCATTGTGCGCTCGCACGATCTCCGGTTGCTATAGTGATGTCTCCGCGGAAGCGGCTGGCGTTATCGCCAATATCAAACCTATTGCCCTCGAAATGTCTGCAAACCTTGCCATGTCCAACATGAGGAAAAAGATGCCTGTCAACCATCTAAACATTTCCTGGCCTAGCTCTGACATGTATCCCAGCTGGAACGAAGCTAAAATCACAATCGACCTGGCCAACATTACCGCCTGGCAAGTAATATGGGATGAGTATCCCAACGGCAGAATCACGTACCAGTTCATTCCCTCTATAGCTGATAGACAAAACCTTGACCTAAGGCACTCCAGATCTCTCTCTTCAATTCTAACCGGTCACGGACGGTTCAGAAGGCACTTCTTTAGACTTGGTAGAGCAGACAGTCCCCACTGCCCGGCGTGCAATAACATCACGGACGATCCTCCTCATCGAATTCTCCACTGTCTTCTGTACGAAACACACAGAGGCCCGATCATAGACTCGCTCCTGAACTGGCCTGTCCCCCTGGACTCACTACTGGTTCATATGGTGGAAAACAACGAGACCAATCTCCTGGCGCCATTTGCAACGAATTACCTGTAAATTAGAGAACAGGAGCTGACGAATTAGATGCTACTCCCCAAAAATTAACGACTTTGAAGGACATGGTTGATAAAGACCTTCACTATGAAGACATTCTTTGGCTTAAATTCAATCATGAGCCATGGAAGGAAGTAATTGAAAATGGAAAAATACACAGAGCCGTAGGGTTATGGATAGAAAAAGTAGAATTTCTCTTACAGAATTTTTCGAAAAGTGGCCAATTTTAAAAGATATGAAAAGCGAAATATTGGTAATAAAATACTAATTAATTGATCAAAAAAATATTATTACTGATTTTTAGATTAATGCCGATTTTAAAATTTCCCGAAGCAGAAATGAAGATATTAAATGAAAAACCTTTTTTGACACAGTAAAAGGAATTAAATTAATCACCATTGGATCGCAAAGAAAAGAATTTTTAAATAATTGCAATTTAGCCAGAAATGAAGGTCTTTTTTAATTGAATTGTTAACTCTTAAAACAATTGATTTAATGGTACTATTTGTAAGAAAAAGAAAAGTCTTCGACACATTATTTAAAATTTTTTATGTATCGGACTTGAAATATCCTTGCCAGTCACAATATTTATATGTTCTTATACATAAATTTGTAAATGATATATTACTTAATTTGTAAAATATTTTTTGATTTAGTTATTTTTACAATAAAATGTACTGTATGTGGAAAAAATTGATAGGGGTTATCATATAAAACAGGACTTAAAACAACATCTAAATAAGTTACACAAGAACCATTAAAACATGTTTGGAATTCCAAATGTATTTAAAACAATTTTAAATTATCAATCTGAACTTCTGTACCATTTAAACCAAAAGAGTGACATTTTGACGCATTTAGTTCAAGGTTCGTGTGTTATTATGATTACTTTTAGCCTGGAAATCATTTGGACAGCAAAGCTGGGTGCTACAAAATTGGCGCAGTTTATTTCACTTTTGACTCGATTCCACCTCAATTTATAACTAGTGTTTTAGAGCAGCAAAATGAATGTCTTGGAGTTTTAGGAAATAGTATTATGTTCTTTTTATAACAGTTTTATTTCTCGTAAGTTACATAAACCAAAATCGTGTATATGTTTTTTATATGTATAATAATAATAATAATGGTTCCCTAGGAACAGGGTTCCATAGAGATTACATATATTTATTCAATAAGCATATATACTACTTCAGTAACTCAATCTCGAACATACTCCCCCGCAATTGCGAAGTCAATTAATACAAAAGATAAACAAGAACGCTCAGCAATAACAGGGCTAGTATTTAGAATTTATAAGATTAATCAGTACAGTAAAATTTTATTTAAAATTATTAATAGGTAACTTAACCAATTTAACAATTGGACGCTGAAACTCTGAATTTGCAGTTTTTATAGTAACAGCGCGAACCAACCCATCAGCACCAGGATGAGTACTGATAATACGACCCAATTCCCACTTATTTGGAGGCAGTTGTTCATTTCTTACTAAAACCAGATCGCCTTTCATTAAATTAGATTGAGTACTAAACC